GATTGTTTAAAGGTCGAGATTGTAACAAATCAATAATATGTGTGTCTAGAATCATATAGTATTAAGTGTTAAATATGGTAGAAAACATGATACAGTAGTATAATTATATTAGTATAAGGTCTTTGCACCCATACAAGGAATGTCAAAAGAGTACATATGTACTGAGATCCAGTTATTACAACTAAAATACAAAGGAAATATGCCATAATATTAAATATGCCATAATATTATAAAGTAAGGCCTCATCTTGGACATCCTCAAGTCTCTTTAGTCTTACCTTTAGCTTCTAAATAAGCACATGTAATCATTATAATAAGAAGGTCGAAAATAACTATCTTAGTGAGATTTTCCTATCTTAAGAGTCTTCTCGGTCATAAGGTGTTCTATAATATAACTGCAACTCTAGTAAATTATTCCTTATGGAATTCATAAACCCATGGGTACCAAGGACAAGCCCGTGCATGAGGGAGTACATTTCCAACTACCACTTATTTAAGGCCATGTGTATCCTATAAAACCAGTTGAAACTAAGGATACCATTACTGGTTAAGTGTGTAATCCGCTATTATTCACTGTTATTAACCATGGCTAATCATTATCATTCAGGGTTAGCCATTATTCATTATCCTCACTCACTAATACCTGAAATAATTCAACATCAAGTTTGTGCCTCATCCATATGCTTTCTTACCTTAACTTATTAGTCACAAAACATTAATCTCAATTATTGGTACATTATTCAGTTAGTCATTATTCATAGATACCCTTGGCGGTATCGGTATACTAATCATTAAAGAGATGACACGTGGTCTGGTCTCTTGGACATTGGAGCACCATATGTATTAAGCCAGTTCATGTTAAACAATCATGTGACTTACGCCTCATAATACGACACTAAAGGATTACTTGTATAATGATCTTTCCAACACATCTGACCCTGTCATGTTTCGAGTTATAAAACGAAAGATACACTATAATCAATACTGCATAAAACTCTAAATTGGAAAGCTCACTTAGCGAGCTCCAAGCGAGGCCTGACAGAATGCATACTTTTCTACAAAAATTGCAGTCTCACTTCGCCACGGGGTAGCAAGGTCAAAGTGGAACCTCACTCAACGAACTGTTATCTCGCTTGGCGGAAAAACCCAGCATGAAGCCTCCCCTAGTGAGGCCTTTCGTCGCTTAGCAAGCGTAGTATAACATAACTCGTTCCAAAGTCCCAAAATTTCAAAATTTCCTTTATTTAAACACTCTAAACTTTCTTATAAGCATCACAACTTGCATGAGAATAACATAGAGTACATATATTTCAAGATATCAAATATCACACACATTCACATAGCATACAAAGCAAGAATCACACAAAACCCCAATTTCCCCTCATGGAAAACCCTTTCTACATAATATTAATCATCTACCTAAGAACCCCACCTATCAAGCTTCAAATTCTAATTAGGTGGTATTAATGATGAGGTCAACATCTTTCCTTTGGTTTATTCCTTCAAGACTTAAGATTTCTTCACACAAGAAAGAAAGACGATGAAACTTTGAACAAAACTCCTTTTCCTCTCTTTTGATTCCTCTCCCACGATTTCTTCTTCCTCTTCTCTCTCAATTTATGTTTTTGTGCAACTGTTTGAAAATAGATGCGTTAATAGTGAAAAAAGATTTATACTAAATGTTAATTCTTGTTTAGTAAAAGACTTTTTTCGTCACCGTTATTTGAGCTTGAAGCCAAGATTTTTAATTACACTTTTTTTTATATTATTTTTTATATGATATATCAATTAAAAATATTTTATTTTTATTTAAGAATTAAAACTATTTACTTAATATGTACTTTTTTTTAATCTATGTTACCTTTACATATATTTTAAAGCATCTTTTACTACTTTTATCATTCATCTTACGATAAATATAAAATTACCCTTTCTACTTGCTGAATTACAAGTCACCACTCACATGTCTCTTTTTTATTAGTCTTGAATATTTATATTTTTCATTTCTTTTGCATAATATCTTATTTTATTTTTTTAAAATGGATATCCTTTAATTAAATATCATATGCAGATTTTGGAGATAAACAAGATGATTTTGTTGAAAAATCAATTCTTATATAAAAAGATAGAAGCAGTTTCATTAAAATGAATGTTTTTTCATAATAGATACTTTTCTTAATATTGTACCACTGAAATTTTATGAATCATTTTTCTTTCTATTCATTGTCTTTCATATGTATGCAATACTAATATATTATTATTGTTATAAGGGTGTCTTTGATCCATGGTAGATGGAGGGGAGGGGAGGGGAGGGGAGGAGATGAAATATTTATAATTAAATGTATTTGGTTCAAATTGTTGGGGTTAATTGAAAATACACACGTCGAAGAAGTTTCACATTGCTTAGTTTTGTGAATGAAAAGAGAGTCCAAGACTATATATATGATACAAGTTCTTCATTCTAAGATGCACCGGTCAAAAACACTTTAAACTTACATTTGACTTCTTTGTTCTCTTATGCTCTTGTATTAGAGTGTTGTGAGATGTAGTTAAATATTTGTTTTGCAAGATGTAGGTGTAATGAGGATTTGGGTTAGTTGAGGGTATATTATGTGTTGTAATAATTTTCACATAGTGTTATTTTCTGGTTGTCTATTAACAATTTTCACATAGTGTTATTTTTTGGTTATCTATTAACAACGACCGTTGTTTTTTCTCCGATTTTAGAGTTTTCACGTTAATCGCTTGTGTTGTTGGAATTCATACTTTATGTGTGAGAGTAATTTGGACATACCGAGGAGAAAAAATATTTGAAGTAATGGTTGCTTTTTCTGAAGAATTGCAAGTCAACAATTGTAATTTGGATAAAGGTGCAGAGGATTTCATGAATGCATTTCGTAAATTCCATTCATATGTTTTTCAACAATCATTCATTTAAAAGTCATACCTTGGTCCAAGAAACAAGTGTTATGACCTTATTTCTCTCCTCAACACTTGGCGTGTGATTCTTGGATGGACTCGAGTCGGTTAGAGGTTGAACTGTGAAGTCATCAGTAATCCCAACAACTTGCAAGTCAGCCCCTCTAGTGGATGGTTTTATAAGTAAATGTTTGGGGTCTAGATATCAATCCAACAATTAAGAATATCTTTTTTCTAAATTATGCTTCAGTTTTGAAGAAGTTTATTTCCAAATATCCATATTTGGCATTGCAATCCCAAATTAGTGTCTACTTATGTTGTTGTTCATCAAACTCATTTTTCTTTTTGCGTCCAGTGGAAGTGGCGTAAGTACATGAATAGTATTTACTATACTGATAGAAAGATTTACTAGCAGCAATCAGTTACCCAATTGTGTTTCTACGACCTCCTTCATTTTCACACCAGTCTCAATTATATTATCTTGCCATGTTACTTCTACACCGTTCATGCTTCTGATACTTATCTCATCCTTCTCTCTTTTTTTATAATCCATAATCTCATTTAAATTATAAATGAACACATTATTGGGTGGCCGGGTACAGTTAGAAAAACTTATTTAAGGAAAAACTTAAAAATTCTAAGCAAGTAAAAGATGCTCAAAATTGTGTCTTTAGATTATTAGGTAGCAGCGGCTGATTTGGAGGAGGCGGGTTTTGTCAATTTCAAAGTAGAAAAAGTGAGAGGTTGGCGCAAATGTGGTTCATGTGCTAGCATCTTATGTTAGACACCGGAAATGAGATTTTTGTTTCAGTTAAATTCTGCTCCATTGGACCTTGACTTGGGCTTATCATGCCTCATTTTGTTTTTTCCAAGGGGTATTGTTCACTACATGTCAGATAGTGATCACATATTCTATGGAAACTCCAAAATACTCTTTCTATATTTTAGATTTCAAAATTTGGACGCGCTTATTTTTCAACATTTTTATTTTAGGCTTTGTCATGACTTTAGGAAGACTTTCTTTCACCTTTTTGTGACCTGTGACGGTGTAGCATCTCTATAGTATTCAATTTTTATGTAGTTGATTTGGGAGTTTATGTTACCTACACATTTGGCATCGTTTTTTGAGTAGTTAGGTCTCTTGTGACTAAATTCAAAGTTAGAATTTAGTTAATCTTAATTTGACATTTAATGGTGTGGATCGAAATTTCTGAAACGACTTATTTTCTTCAAGTTTGACATCTAGAAGAATTTGTAGATAAAGATATTTTGGTTTTGAAAATGGTATCATGGTAAGAGTGTCTTTGTTTTCTAACATTTCTATGAGTAGATGAAAGACTCGGAGGTATTTTGGTGGTTCTTTTAGGTAGGGGTGGCAAATATTATATAGGATGCTGTGAGCCGAAAAAGATGTAAATTTAAAACTTTAATCCATTCTAAAAAAGTTCGGACGATCATTAGGATTTCCATTACCGGTGGTTTAGTGCAAAACAAAAAGAATAAATTATGACAACTAATTATATGTTTTAGCGGCTATAATAAACAAAAATAATGTTAAAAAATGCCATAATTCGGTATAGATAAGTATAAAAATAAAATGAAGATAAGCATCGTAATTGTCATTTATAATAACTAGTTTTCGAATTCAAATAAGGTTAGTCTCAAATGTCATATTTTCTAGAAAAAAGAAATCACCAACAACTTGTGTTATTTCAAATGGCCATAATACACCACAAATACATTTCAAACAACCATAATCAGAATATTGACGTTTCAAACTGCCAGAATTTACTGCAGCTATTTACAAAATGATTATAAATCGCAACAATTTTCATGAAAACCATTATAATAATATATGATCTGAATTTCCTTTTTTTTTGTTCTTTTAAATAAAACTATTAACAGTCATTTAATACACAAGCCACTGTTATTGTTAAACATCTTCAAAGTTACATGATAAGCCTAAAAATTTGATAAAAATATATCAAACTATTCTCAAAATATCAATAACATTGCATGTCCATTATCTTTAGCTATTATCAAAATAAACAAGAATCCAAACACAAAAATGATATAACCAATTCATGCGCTGTTAGAAGGATTCTGATGTATATTGCTTCCATCCGATAATGTTCTCATGTCAAACGATGAATATTCACTTCCTATATCTGAAATCTACACAAAATCAAACAATCGTTATATTACAACTAATCATCACAAAAATATAAAATACACATAATGTCGAATTAAAGACACAAACATTTGCACTAAACTAATTAAGATTTGATTATGCTCCTTGGCTTAAATCAAATATGTAATGTTTGAAACTCTGCGTATATACATTCAAAGATTTCTCAATACATAACATTGCAATTGTATTATTTTTTAAAAAGCTAAAATGATTAATTAACACACAAAAAAGTTACACCAAAAGAAATATGCATTCTTCATCCACAATCTGAACAAAAGGAGAATATCAATTATTCACTATAATTTAATCCCATAATTACGAGTAGGTTTCAACAGAAATAGATAGATATAAAAATCAGCAACCCATTCTAATTTAACCCAAAAAATCAACCAAATAATGTACCTGTTGTGTTTGATCGGGAAATAAGGCAGCCAAGTCCTTAGGGAGTGTACCACCTTCTTTTGCACTAATGTAGCCAACAACTGCTTTTAATTGAGCAGTCACAGCCGCAAGTTTCTGTTCCACCGATGAATTACTACCACTTGAAGAACCAAACTCCATACCACGAAGTCGTGTGGTGGTGTGCTTAAAAGCAATTGTAGGAACCACTCCCAAACCCATTGTTCGAACACGGCCAGGATGTTCTCTACCAAATATATTGGCAACAACATCATTTGGAGAAGTTTCAGAAGACGCCTCATGGTTTCGATTTATATGACTATCAATTTTCTCCTACATACAAAACAAATAACCAATGAGTCTCGTTCAGTTACTTCAATTCTAAAACAACAAACATAAACCTAAAATTTATTTGGTATATATTATCAACTTACCCCTATCTCCATAGCTTTGTCATTCACATAACTTCCATCTTTCTTTTTGTGGATCATCTTCCACATTAGACCCCGGCCAATAGTCTTACCCGTTTCAATACTCTAAAAAAATATACATAAAATATCATTATGAATCAAATAAATTAGTACTTTTTTGCCAAAAAAGAATAGCAAAAGTGAGAACTTAATATCTAACATAAACAACTATTTAGATAAAGATAGTGGTAATCATACTAGCTCATGTCTTCTCCTCGCTAATGACTTGGCACCACATGTATGAGAATATGCTTGGTTCTTCCTTATTTCTTGATTTCTCTTACAAAGCTCCTATAAGTAGAACTATATTACTTCTATAATTTAAAAAGAAACTATTCAATATACAATAACAAATGAAATATGTACCATCGTCTCTGGTTTTAAGCGATACTCAACAAATAATGCCCAATGATTCGGGGGAATTTCCTTAGGTTTCTTGTTGATAATTTCACTTTTGCTCAAAGATGGATGATAATAAGCCTTCCAAAGCTTAATCCTAGACTCCCTCCACTTTTTGCCAATCGAAGCCTCAATATATCTTTTCGCTAAATCTTCATGTACCTTGAAACAAAATCGAGGCTTCCAATAACAGGAATGTTAGTCACTTTCAATGTTTCATATGCAAACTTTGAATACATAAGTAGAACTAAAACAAAAAATACCAGAAAGAAGGCTATCCATTGTTCATCAAAGTAACTTCCAGGCATATTTGACCACTTATCATAACCTATAGGAAAAAAGACACTATTTGTTGCTATTAGACCACATACTCCAGCAAGCAAACCAGCAGCCTCTCCAATAGATGAATGAAATTCATCAAAATCCACAATAATACGCAATGCATTCGGCATGTCCTTGACATCTTTAGAATTCAAACGCAGTTTTTTAATTACACCATGTTCTTCATCTACAAGAAATAAATGTTATGTGGCGAAAACCTTAAATATATAACAAAAGTGCAACACAAGACTTAATTAAAACATATCAATACATTATACCTATTGCATCTACAAACCAATAATGAGTAGATACTCGTCCATCTCTACGTTCAGGACGTATAACCTCTTGTTGTGCAGGCTGCGGGGATGTTTGACAAGGTACTTGAGATGATACATTAACTCTACAAAGAGAACTTTCAGCTTCTTTTTGTGCAAGTTGTGAGGGTGTTTGACTAGGTAATTGAGATGATACATTAGCTCCACGATGAGAACTTCCAACTCCTTGTTGTGCAGGTTGTGAGGATGTTTGGTTAGCTAATTGAGATGATATATTAGCTATACGATGAGAACGTCTAACTCCTGGTTGTGAGGATGTTTGGTTAGGTAATTGAGATGATACATTAACTCTACAATGAGAACTTTCGGCTTCTTTTTGTGCAAGTTGTGAGGGTGTTTGACTAGGTAATTGAGATGATACATTAGCTCTACGATGAGAACGTCTAACTCCTGGTTGTGAGGATGTTTGGCAAGGTAATTGAGATGATACATTAACTCTACAATGAGAACTTCTAACTCCTTGTTGTGACAATGTTTGGTTAGGTAATTGAGATGATCCGTTAGTTATACGATGAGAACGTCTAACTCCTTGTTCGGCAGGTTGTGAGGATGTTTGGTTCGGTAACTGAGATGATACATTAGTTCTACCATGAGAACTTTCAATTCCTTGTTGTGCAGGTCGCATTTGGTTAGGTAATTGAGATGATACATTATCAACAACTAGTGTAGGAGTAGCAGACATGACATCAGGTGAACCAAGTGGAGCATGAATTGGATCACTCGACGAACATACAACATGAGCTAGTTTAAGCAAATTTGAAATCTTTTTTGACTTTGGCATTGCTGCACATAGGAAACAAGGTAGTCAATTAAAAAGAATTTGAATAAGAATAATACAAAACTTAATGAAATATATTCAAATAAAACTTTATTGAAAGCTAACACAATGTACATAGTTTAATAGTTCTACGGCAACAAAAATAAGTCAAGTTAAATTTATACGACCTACTCTCAACTTCTTCAAAAAAGTGAACAATTTTAGAATTATGATTAGAAAGTAACTAGTCAAAAAGTTAAAACACTGAAGATTCATAACTAAGTCTTACAGAAAATGTTTTCTGGCTTGCAAGTAAAAACAAATGAAGCAACATTTTGTATAAATAACCATAAAATTTGTACTAAAAAAATTGATGGTAGATGGAAAAATCTATCACCAGAACCCTGACTATAAAGAAATCCCTTTATCTCTACACCCATTGCCCTTCTCTCTCTCTCTTACACTCTCACTGTCTAGAAATAATGCTTCTGTTGTGAAGGCACTCTTTGTTGCAAAATTGTGAACAAACTATGTTTTATATGCACTTTTGAAAATATGTATTCAGAGGCCATAATGAAACAGCAAAATAAGAATCTAGTCTAGAGTAGTAACAAAGCAATTTAGTGACACATTCAGATCATTTACTAACATGTATTACACTACAGTTACAGTTTCTTCCCTAGTTTCAATTAGAATCCATTGACGTCGTATATAGCTTCCCTAGATTTATTGATCAGGTAAATTACACACACAAAAATTAGTTATTTTGGAATAAAAACAAAGTAAAATCTCATTTACTAAGCATGGAAGTATACCACATATTTTTCAAATCACAGAAGCATGGTTGGATATTATGAAAGATTTTGAGATTAACGATTTGGATAGAAGCATGGTTCTGGATAGAACATTATGGTGGAAGTTTATCCATGTAACCGACACCACTTAATGGGATAAGGCTTGGTGGTGGTGGTTGTTTAAGAAGCATGGTTGGAACTTGAAGGTATACATAAGACTTAAAAATAATCAAAGGATCCAAATTAGTAGTTTGGCACCCAGCTGTGAAAGAGGTAATCATATCGAGCTTAAGCTTAGATTAATTTTTCATTGTTTACTTTTAAATAAATAAACTTTGTGTATGGACTAGAACAATTTTTTTCCTTGACCTATGGTTACTTACAATTGCTACTAAACGCAAAAAGAATCTCAAGAGAAGTGAAAAACATCACATTATGCATCCAACTATATTCATCAATCATCAATGAACCTGACAGTATTTAAATCAATTTAGTTGAGGGATTTTGTGTATGAAGTGGAAATTCTAAGTGAGAAAAATATGAAATTTCGACACTCTTATGTTCAGGATATATATGTACCTAACAAGTTTTTCTACACACATTTCTGACAGGAAATCAATTAAAATTTCAAAGAACTAGTACTGTTTCCCAAAACCAAGAAACAATGTTGATTAAATTTCAACCCTCTCAAAATACACATGAGATTCGGAGTCCATAACCTGCATAAATGTGGATGAATTTACTGGTTTAGGACTAAAACACCATTGAGACAAGCATATGAAGCTAGGGCAAAAATATAAAACAACTAAAAAACCCTAATCCTTCAAGAAAATCGGAAATTGCCTCTATGCATACACACAGAAAGACGTGCAGACTCAAAACCGCCGTAGAAAAAACAAAAACGCACAGGCCAATGAAAATCGAACACAAGAAAAGATGAAATGGAAGCAGTAAGTTTACCTTTAAAAAAGAGTGATTGACAGACGGTAGAGAAGAGTGGCGGAGCGGAATGATGAGAGGCAGAGCGACGGTGAAGAGTGGCGGAACGACGGTGAAGAGTGGCGGAGCGACGGTGAAGAGTGGCGGAGCGACGGTGAAGAGTGGCGGAGCGACGGTGAAGAGTGGCGGAGCGACGGAGAAGAGTGATTGAAGACGAATTCTAAGACAGATATGCGAAATGGAAAGGTTTAAGGAAATTAGGAACAAAAAGAAACCTGAAAAAAAATATGAAAAATAAATTAAAAATAAGAATTTTGGTAAATATTGGCGGTTGGAACTTGGAAATGTTAATAGCATGAGTTATCTTTAAAAACCGTCGTAATAAAAATTAATAAAAATATTTATTTGGAAAATCATTAAAAAAAATTAACTATTCATGGTTTTGAAAGAAAAAACAACAATCAAGAATCCTCTAAAAACTGTTATCTTTGTGATCTTTCTCTTTGTAATTTGTGTTTTGTCTTTTAAGTTTTTTCTCTCATTTTAAGCTTTGATCCCCTTCTTTCTTTTACCATGTGTCCAGACCTCTTTGATAAGTGATATTTTCCTTCTGTTTTGGATTCTCTTTTTATACAGTCCCTGAGTGCTCCTCTTTTTGTTGTTGCAGTCTTTAGCATTTCACTTTAAATAATTGTCTTTCTATTGTATTCCTTTTGTTTTCTTTTGATCATTTTGTTGAGATCGTTGTGGTTTTAGCATTCTATCAGTATTTTCTTTTGATCATATTCTTGAGATCATCATTGGTTTTTGTGTCCTGCATTATGGACAAACAGCATACCGATCAAACTATATCTCAAAGAACCTAAGAGATCATAACCTCGGATCACATGGAGCATATTGGCACAAGCTCGGACCCTAACTGCAACATGGTTTACATAAATCTTTGTTTCGATCATCAAAACCAAATACTTGAAAAACCAAAAAATAAAAATCAGATTCAACAAACCATCATAAAACCAAAAAAAATAATTAACATCATTACCCTCCAAAAACTATATTGATCAAGAACCAAAATCAAAATGCTAAAAAAAATGACATAATTACTATTGATAGCCCTACAACTCCTGGCTTCATTATCTATAAAGAATGAGAAATTCAAGACAATCAAAACGTTGACTATCTATGCATATTGGGAAAAATCATCATAGAAAAACCTATTCACTGATAATTAATCCAAAATGCCATATCCAACATATGATGTAACCCTATTTGTCTCTGAATTAGAATCGACTATGTATAAAATTACTATGAAAAAATCCTGAGGACTATAAGTGTATCCTGAAGGGTGTCGCAACTCGAAAAATCACGGAGACTTTTCGGAGAGAAAACCCTCGCGCGAAAGGCGCGGAAATGCGGTTCGACAGAGTCGCCATCGAACTTTATTTTTCCCGAATAAACGGGAGAGGAAAATATCGAGAAAACCTCTTAAGACGAAAGGGATAGGAACAGGGCTGTCGCAACCAAGTTCCGGGTTCGGGAGTCGGTTACGTGAGGGGAAGGTATTAGCACCCCTCACGTCCGTCGTACTCGACAGGAACCTCTTAAGGTAAATGTGGGGAGTGTTGTTTAGGTTTACTTGTTTTCTTCTCAATGATAAAGGTAGAATTGGTAGGATAACAGGTAAAGACGCTAAGGGAAAGGGATGGTTGGAAGATAGGGTGCTCGCCAAGGATTGGGGCCCTTGTGCCTACGTATGCTCATTCGGACGAGAATGAGAAATCGGAGCGTCGTAGTTCGACTACGGGAAAGGTTAGGAAAAGTTGTGGGCAGAATAATGGAGAAAGATAGAAGTGTGCTCGCCAAGATCATCGCAATCTTGTGCCTACGTATCTTATATTCAAGAATGGATAAAGAATCAGAGCGTCCGTAGTTCGTGGTAACAACCACGAAAAGATGAGGTTGAATGGGTTGGAAGTTTGAGAAAGAGACGAAAGAATGACTGACAAGCAACCCAAGGGCGTGTCTCAAGAGCTTGTCACTCAAGAATTCAAGGAATGCGAGATTCCAAGAACTCAGTTCTTTCGGAAATTGACTGAATAGGTTGAAGATAAAGAGTTGGATATTTTGAAATCGAAAGAATGAACTAATAACAACTCAAGGGCGTGCCTCGAGAGTTACTCATTCGAATATTCAAAGAATGCTAGATTCTAAGGATATCCCTCTTTCGTAAGTTTTAAGAAAACGTTTGTGAAAAGATCGAATCGAAAAATGGCATGCGAGGCCAAAGGAAGTTGGTTTGAAAAAGTCTCGACGACGTGTCGAGGATTTGATCGAAGATGGAACCGACTTGACGACGTGTCAAGGGTTAAGAGGTGAGAAACTATATTAGTCCCTAAGAGTGCCCCTAATATTGAAACCACGATGAATCTGAGGTGTGTGCAAAATGTTGATAGTTGCGAATGCGTATGAGCATTCGACTCAGGAGAATGTTCGAAAAATGACTTGGTTTGAAAGAGTCGAAAGGTTGAGTGAATAACAACTCAAGAGCGTGCCTCGAGAATTATTTACTCGGAAATTCAAGGAATGCTAGATTCCAAGAACTTCTTTCTTTCGAAGTTTTAATTGAGAAAGGTGTTTTGAAAATGCTTTGAAGCGAAATAGGGTATGAAGATAACTTGTGAATATGTGAAAAGAATACGAAATTGAATTTGAAATTATGGGAGAAATGATGATTATTTGATAAATGAGACGTCGGTCTCACAACCAATTAATCGGGGTATTATCTAGATGCTCGATCTCGACGATACATTTTTCATTCGATTTAGACTTGGATGAACAATGGAAATATCACACGGAATGCTAGATTCTTACGATATTTCTTTGTTCAAAAGAGAGTATGTTTAAAGAGCGAAAAGTTGAACAAAACATTATTTAAGGTGTACACCTCAATAATATCCATTCGAAAACTCAAGAAGTGCTAGACTTCAAGAGTTTAATTTTTCGTAATTTAACTAAAAATGATTTGATTAAACATGCTTAAGAAATATTATTGCTTCAAAGTTTTTTCTCTTTAAAATAAAATCTATTTTGAAATTGCCTTATTAAATAAATTACTTAAATAAATAGAAGAATGATTTTGATTTAATTTACAAAATATTGTTTGAATAAACAACAAAAGTATCACGTGGAATGCTAGACTCTAATGACATTTTTTTGTCTAAATAATTAAAGGGCGTACTTTGAAACGAAAAGGTCGAATGTCACTATCCAAGGCGTACGTCCCAATAGTGA